TTCAGCACGGCTAGCCAACCTGGTTTCTGATATCTTCACTTTCTTAAGCAGAACTTCATGTGCCAGCAGCTGTCTCGCAGCATACACCAAAGCTTTCCACACGCTTTTCACTCCTGCAAACCTGACAACGTCTTCAATGGGCCTGAAATCAAATTATAAAGGATCTGAAAACGTATATTGCCTGAATGTATTTCATCGTACGGTTCAAAAACAAAAACGTATTGGCCCTCCGGTGTCCGCTGCTGACTGTACGTAATATTATATTGTATCATAGTCTCGACGGTTCGCTGCATGTCGCTCTTCTCTCGCACACTATATAGTTGGGAATTCATCTAAATGTAAAGATTTAAATATATAGTATATTAGCTGGAATTTATTCACTACAGTCTCTAAAGCAACTTATAGTAAGGGAGCACTATTATGACGTTGAATGTGGCGTCAGCTTAATAAACCACTGTCAACATTCTCAGGAATATCAAGCAATTTTTTATCAGCAAGCAATTTATCAGATAAAACGATACAAGATTCCACTAAACTGCAAGTCTCAGAATAGTGTGAAGGCATAACCTGCTTGACTGGTCCCATAAACAACCAGGATCAAGGGGTAGTGCAATATGTCGAGAAGTCCAGTTTGAGAAATTGAGCATTAGCTAAGTAACAAACGAAAAATATATGCAAAATATCGAGAAAAAATTAACGAGTAACGGCAACCTACTGGTCTAATGTCTGGCTGAAAGATGCACCAAAGCCACGGTGCAGTTTCAAGCACAACGTTGAGGAGGTTGGCGAACGGTCGCAGTTTCGGCATCATGTCATTCAAGATCGTTCCGACAGTAGCATGGTTACGGCTAAGACGAGCTATGCTCTAAAAGACAGCATAGCCAAGGATAGACGAACAAAATAAACGAGGGATGGAGGGCTAAAAACAGACGACAGTTCTCACCTCTCGATAAGTGTGAGGAAACTGAAGTTTCGGATAACGGTTCGTCGCGAACAAAAGATGAAATACGATGGCTACCAGATTCTGGTAGGGAAGAAATTCATACCTTTGACGCTCGTTGACCATACGCTCCAACTGGTCTGTGAAACATAACCAATCCGTACCAAAAGTGACCTGAAAATTAAGCTGATTTAAAGAAACTCAAATACAAAGAAAGGTTCATTGCCGCCTGCGAAAATTACTTTCAAAGAAAACGAAAAACGTGAAAATAAGCAAAGTTGAAATACTGCCGTTAGAATCTGCGAGATGTTAGTTTCGGGGAAGAATCGAGAGCCCTGATTCATTCTAGAGTATTATCTTACTAATGTCTTGTAGCATTATCATATTATTACCTTCTTGTAGTTTTGGCTAATTCACATACACAGCCAATATTATGCAAAGAAGAGTCTGTGATGCCCAGTCTATCTTTCGTGGTGTAATCCACATAATCGACAAAGATTTAGCTGCCTTCAACTTAAGGGATGTAGTCCTTGATGTCGTTCCGTCAGCAGTAAGCAGATACACGACTGTTTCACGGTATATACGCTGATTAACATAAAACTGTGACACCGTTTCCAAAGGATAGAAATCACAAATATGGGCTACTTTGCAGGCTATGCCATGCTTAGTCTTAAACGACGACGAAAACGAAAAATAACAACTAGACAGAGTTATAGCGCAACAATGATGCCAAAGCAATCTAAAATATCGCCTGTTCAACAGGCCAGAGTAGAACGCCTTTGGCTGCATGCCTAGAATAGCAAATATATACGCTATAAAAACCTCTTTAGTACAAATAAGTCAATCTGCTGTCACTCAATAATTGCCAACATTTTAACTAGAAATCCTGCTATCAAAAGGCGCTATCTTTCCCTCAATATCGGTCAATCCGTCAATCAGTCAGTTTCGATGACCACTTATCCTTTCGAATCGTGGAAACAGAAGCGTCAAACAGTATCTTCAACATTCTCAATCCAGTGCCAGCGTTTCAGTTACGGCATAATCTAAGCTGGTTCTGGAGCAAAATCCTTCGGAACATTTGCCCCAAATTATTCTTGGCCGACTAAGGGGCATTCGGTCAGCCGGTTGAACAGACAGTTCGCCTGTTTCGCCTTTTATTTTGGAAACCTTCGTAAGACGTGCCCAAACCATCCCAGTTTTCACTTTTCGGCCTGGAGAGGCAGCAGATCTACACTAAGGCCTTCTCATATATCTGTACTCTTGACCATGTCCAGACACGTGTGCCTAGTGATTCGTCTTAGAAAGCCAATTTCAGTCATTTGCACAGGCGAGCGCAATTTTTCAGTCATCGCTCACAATTCATGACAGTAGGTGAGC